GCAGGTCTTTCTTTTACTCACTTGAATGTGACATGCAGAAGTATCTTTGCTACAATGGCAGTGACTGTGAGGATGAGGAGAGTTGCCAGGCCATATACTGTCCATCCTGCAAGTATAAAAGACAGAGTTTTTAATACCTGATCTATTTGTGCTTGGTTTTTAGAAGGAGATCTGTTGGAAGACCCAAGTGAACACCAACATCTTAGAAATACAGGTCAGGCTGAAGACTTCCTGCAGTCAGGGGGCAGCCAGCAAACATGGCAGAAGGAGCAGCTTTGAACTGGGCTGAGCACAGAGCCCCAAGCTTTCTGAGAACCTTACCTCATTCTAGAACTTTCTCTTTGGGAAAGGCAGGCAGTATGACCTAAAGTACACTGGACTTGGGCAGTGCAGCCAAAAAATAGCCAAGCATTGTGGCGGGTGCTTGTAGTCCCAACTACTTGGGAGGCTGAGGCAAGAGAATCACTTAAGCCTAAGAGTTTAAGGTTGCTGTGAGCTGTGGCTCAAAGGGGTGGCAGGTTCAAACCCAGCCTCGGCCAAAAACTGTTAAAAAAAAAAAAAAGTACACTGGACTTAGAGTAGAAAGGGGTTGTATACATTCTGTCTCTACCACTAGAACCACTGTGCATCCACAGATGAGTTACTTTGGGCCTTAGTTTCCTCTTCAGAGGGACGAATGTGTGACCTATAATATGCTATCAGAAGAATGGGTGTGGTAGCTCATGGCTGTAATCCTGACATTTTGGGAGGCCAAGGTGAAAGTATCATTGAGCCCAGAAGCTTTAGACCAGCTTGGGCAATAGCTCTACAAAAAGTAAAAATATTAGCTGGGTGTGGTGGTGTGTACCTGTAGTTCCAGCTACTTGGGAGGCTGAGGCAGGAAAATAGCCTGGGCAACAGAATGAGACTGTCTCAAAAAAAAAAAAAAAAAAATCAAGATCCACAGCCAAATGATGCCATGCAAGCACTGGAGTAGGCCTCTCTGGCCTTCTCTGTTGGGGCCTACAGGGGCCTCGAGAGCAGTTTGAAAGACTCTAGGCTAGGTCACCACTGATGGCACTATCCAGCTCATAAAGGCTCCACTTCCTTGGCAAAAAACAGACAGAGGAAGGATATACCCAACCAGGTTGGCCAGCTTAAACCACAAAAGGTCATTGTCCTCTCTCTATCCCTCCCCATGACTTCTCTTCATAGCTCTCATCACTACCTGGCTTCTTATTTTGCTTCCTGTCTTGCTTCTCTTACAAGCCACAGGAGGGCAAGGATTTTGTCTGGTTCACTATATACTGTTCAGAAGAGTATTCAACACCACTAAAGCATTTACATATCTTTTGAATGAATGAATGAACATATGAATCTCTTGAGAATGCCAATGAATTCAGGTAGCTACAACTTGGGGCTCTTGAAGGGTGATCTCAATGTGAGAAAGCACTGGATTAGCTGATTAGTCATAATGTATAAAAAGCACACATGCTGGCTTGACACCTGTGGCTCAGCAGCTAGGGCGCCAGCCACACACACCAGAGCTGGCAGGTTGGAACCCAGCATGGGGCTGCCAAACAACAATGGCAACTGCAGCCAAAAAATAGCCAGGTGTTGTGGTGGGTGCTTGTAGTCCCAGCTACTTGGGAGGCTGAGGCAAGAGAATCACTTAAGCCCAAGAGTTTAAGGTTGCTGTGAGCTGTGATGCCACAGAACTCTACGGAGGGTGACATAGTGAGACTGTCTCAAAAAAAAAAAAAAGAAAAGAAAAAGAGCACATATGCTGGGTCTTTGGAGGTTTGGAGGTGAACCATTTTTCCTAAGGACTAAGGAAGCAAACTAGTGAAGATTTCCTTCAAAGGCCAAGACAGACTATAGGTCACAGCCAGTACCCCCAACCCGCTTTTGCATGAGAAACACCCAAGACTACTTTTGTTACTGTCACTGCTGAGGGCACTACCTTCAACTCTGCGGCTTTTAGCCCCTACTGATGGTGTCCAGGAATTGCTACCTGGGACAGTCTGAGTTGGTTGGCTGGGGCTGGTGGTGATGACGTAGAGAACTTTGGAGGACCGGGCAGCACTGACGCTGAGGTTGGTCTGCTCCGTGATCACCTCGGCTAATGTCTGGTTGACAGTAGGCCTCTCCTGAGGCGGTTCTTCCTTGATGGCTGGAAGATCAAAAGGAATTAACCTGAGGGAGAGCTACGGGATAAGGATGAGCTGTGTAAGAAGACAGCACTGACTATGAAGAAAGGCCTTTTTCTCTGATCCTGGTACAATTCCTTCAATTGGTCCCATTTGCCCCAAAGCAGAATTTGTCAGACTCTGGGCTTGCAGGAGGCAGAAGGAGGGAGCTATCAACTTTTAATTGTGTGGCTGGTCTCTTCTGGGATACCTGAGCATGATTTGTAGTTTCCTTCCCCTTGCACTTGGCAGCTATGGTTTCCTCTGCCTAGAAGGCCCTCTTCCATCCTATCCATTGGCCCAAATCCTACCTGTTCCTCAAGACTGTCCCATCTGCAGAGGATGCCTCTCCCACTGATCTCCTATAGCACATACTACCTGAACTCTGCTTGAGGTTTGCTATCTAGGACAAAAACTATGTCTCAGACACCTTCTGTGTTTCTTATGTGTTGACAAAGAGACGTGCCACTTTTCCCAGCACACATTTTCATTATAGGGCCAGAGAGTGTGGCTCCACCTTAGGAGGATTTGAAAAAAGGTGGTCAATCAGTCCTTTGGGGGTTGGCTGGGATGATTAGAGACAGAAGGATGGACACATGACCTCTTGAGAACCTTCCAATTCTACCAATCTCAGCTTTCTTTAGTTATTTTTTTAACCCTCCCAGGAAAACTGTCATTAGAACTCTTAAAGTAGGGGCCAGGCATGGTGGTTCACGCCTTTAATTCCAGCACTCTGGGAGACTGAGGCAGGTGGATTGCTAGAGCTCAGGAGTTCGAGACCAGAGCAAGACCCAGTCATAGTGGCTCACGCCTTTAATTCTAGCACTCTGGGAGACTGAGGCAGGTGGATTGCTAGAGCTCAGGAGTTCGAGACCAGAGCAAGACCCAGTCATGGTGGCTCACACCTTTAATTCCAGCACTCTGGGAGACTGAGGCAGGTGGATTGCTAGAGCTCAGAAGTTCTGAGCCAGAGCAAGACCCAGTCTCTAAAAAATAGCCAGGCATTGTGGCAGGTACCTATAGTTCTAGCTATTCAAGAAGCTAAGGCAAGAGGATTGATTGAGCCCAAGACTTTGAGGTTGTGTGAACTATGACTCCATGGCACTCAACCCCAGGGTAACTAAGAGAGACTATCTCTGAAAAAAAGCCTACTAAAATAGGCTGGGCATAGTGGCTTATGGCTGTAACCTAAGCTTTCATAGGCTGAGGCAGGAGGATTGCTTGGGGCCAGGAGTTCAAGGCAAGCCTGGGCAATACAGTGAGATCTGGTCTCTATAAAAAATAAAAAGTTAGCCGGGCATAGTGGTGCACACCTGTGGTCTCTGCTGCTTGGGAAGCTGAGGTAGGACGATTGCTTTAAGCCTAGGAATTTGAGGCTACAGTGAGCTATAATTGTGCCACTGCACTCTAGCCTGGGTGACAGAGCAGCCAGACCCTATCTCTGTCTCTAAAAAAAAAAAAAAAAAAAAAAAAAAAAACTAGTCTAGCAAAACTGACAGGCTTTGCCTCTTTCCTGTATCATTAAACATAAATTATGAAATGGGAGGTAGGGAAAGAGCTGCAGCCTTGGGGTAATGTGCAAGTTGAGTCTGTCACTCCTGTTTCCCAGTTTACCCAGCAAGAATTGCTCAGGGGCCCAAAGTCACAGTGGTGAGGAAATGAAGCCCGAGAACACAGGCCCCAAAGGGCCACCATGGAGGTGAGGGTGTCTTACCTTGGTATAAGACAGCAAATCCCTGGGCTTGATTGACACGATCAGAGAAGAAATATAAGATGACGAAGTCCAGAGAGACATTGAAGGACAGAGGTGGGCGGCTCCTCCCGTGAAACCGAGCCAAGACACGGTGGGTATAGCCATCCAGCAATTCCACCATGTCTGCTGAGTCCCTGATGTCAAACAGGGGGAAGCTGAAGTGGATGCGGGAGGCCCCCGGAACCCGAATGGTCCAGTAGCAGACCCTTCCTGTGGCATAGGTGTCAGGGAAGTCAGGGGAATAGACCACAGAAGTCATGGCTGAGTAGTTCCCACCACAGGCACCAACGAGAGCTGGAGAACACAAAAAGATACCAGGACTTCAGTCTGGGCATCGCCACAGGGCACCCTTCCAACACTGAAGCTCAGGGCTTCCTAACAAACAAGATCTTGTTTGGGATATATTGTTTCTGTCTACAAAGCTAGAACATCTTATGTTTCAGGATTGACTCATAAAATGAATCACTTAAACCCTGGAAAAATGACTGTGGAGACTTCCTTTCTTTTTTCTTTTTGCCCAGGAGACCTTAGAATTAGCACAGCACAATGGGGTAGCTGAGTTTGGGCTGGGCTGGAGTCAGAGAGTCTGGATTTGGGACAGGTGGGGCAGTTGATGAGGTAAAGTCATTGGAAAAGAAAGGTTAACAGCTGTCTGGGCATCCCCCAAATCTCAGAGGAGCAATGATCCTGTGAGAGGGACAAATTCATTTTTCAAGTGGCAAACTGAGGCTGTGTGAATGACTTTCTGCAAGCAGGAGCATACTAGATTCTTATTGCTCTGTAATGAGGATTTGATTTCTTTGGACGACCATTTTTGATTAGCAGATTCTAGGAAGGAAATAAAACCCCTTCCTATCTTATAGGGTGAAGCATCAATGAGATATTAGAAATGAAAATCCTTAGGGAAAAGCACAGGGATGGGATTTAAAAAGCAGGCTTTGGGGGAGCTCTGGTTCCCTTTAGGATGTACAAGAAGCAAAAAGAAAATGGTGCTTCTTCCTAAGAATGAGAAAAGCTCAAAACTCAGAAAGCTGAGTTCTCATGACAACTAGGAGAACTTAATTCTTTTTTTTTTTTTTTGAGACAGAGCCTCAAGCCTGGGTAGAGTGCCATGGTGTCACAGCTCCCAGCAACCTCAAACTCCCGGGCTTCAGGGATTCTTTTGTCTCAACCTCCCAAGTAGCTGGGACTACAGGCGCTCGCAATAATGCCCAACTATTTTTTGGTTGCAATTGTTTGGCAGGCCCAGGCTGGATTCGAACCTGCCAGCTCTGGTGTATGTGGCTTGTGCCTTAGCAGCTTGAGCTACAGGCGCCACTCGAGAATTTAATTCTAAAGCGCAAGACATCCTTCCAAGAAGAGTAGACCATGAAAATGATTTCATCTTTGACAGAGTACACATGACAGCCACAGAATTGGTTAAGAAGAAAGCAGCTAACTTGCTTTGGTAGCACACAAAATTGGAATGATACAGAGAAGATTAGCATGGCCCCTGTGCAAGGATGACATACAAATTCATGAAATGTTCTGTATTTTTTGGAGATCACTTGGGATCTAAAAATAGACCTGCCATTCCATCCTTCAATTCCTCTACTAGGTATATATCCGGAAGACCAAAAATCACTTTATAACAAAGATATTTGCACCAAAATGTTTATTGCTGCCCAATTCATAATTTCTAAGTCATGGAAGAAGCCCAAGTGCCCATCGACCCATGAATGGATTAATAAATTGTAGTATATGTACACCATGGAATATTATGCAGCCTTAAAAAAGACGGAGACTTTACCTCTTTCATGTTTACATGGATAGAACTGGAACATACTCTTCTTAGCAAAGTATCTCAAGAATGGAAGAAAAAGTACCCAATGTACTCAGCCATACTATGAAACCAATTTACAGCTTTCTTAGAAAGCTATAACCCAACTATAGCCCAAGAAGAAGGGGAAAGAGGAGAAGGAGGGGAGGGGAGGGGGGAGGATGGGTGGAGGGAGGGTAATTTGTGGGACCACACCTATGATGTATTTTATAAGGGTTCATGTTAAATGTATTAAGTGTAGAGTATAAATGTCTGAATACAATAACTAAGAAAATGCAGTGAAGGCTATGTTAACCAGTTTGATGAAAATAATCAAATGGTATATAAAACCAGCACATTATACCCCATGATTGCATTAATGTACACAGTTATGATTTAAAAAGAAGAAGAAGAAGAAGAAGACAGCTAAAATTTCAAAAATTCTTTTTTTTTTTTTAAAGAGACAGGGTTTTACTTTATTGCCCTCGGTAGAGTGCTGTAGCGTCACAGCTCACAGCAACCTCCAACTCCTGGGCTTAGGCGATTCTCTTGCCTCAGCCTCCTGAGTAGCTGGGATTACAGATGCCCGCCACAACACCTGGCTATTCTTTTTTTGTTGTTGTTGCAGTTTGGCCGGGGATGGGTTTGAACCCACGACCCTTGGTATATAGGGCCGGTGCCCTACCCCCTGAGCCACAGGCACTGCCCTCAAAAATTCTTAAAGGCTCATTATGGGCTGGTCTATCAGTTTAGGATAACTGGGAGCCCCAGACACAAGACGTGGAGAGTATTTGTACTTACTGGCAAGTTATTCCCCACAGGCCTCCAGCCAGTGCTCCCAAGAGTGACTGGGGTGAGGCAGTAGAACAGAGCTCCCCTGGGTGTCACAGGTGTATAGGAGGTGATGGGCTGCCACTGGGCAACAGGAATGAAATACTGCCCACTTCTCAGGACCATCCTCTCAAAGAAAGAAAAACCTTCAGCTGCTGGGGAAGGTGTAGCAAGCCCCTTGCTCTCAGATTCATTGGAGAGGGATAGAAACAAAATCTATATGCCTCTGGCAGGAGGAAAGTCTTTCCTGCCAAAGTAACCAGGCAAAGCTCTACTGCTTCTGAGGAAAGAGAAGAAGCAAAAGCCATTGTCCCTTGGTTGACTTGAGCCCTCTTGGGCCCAGGATCTTGCACCCAGTGCACCTGAGGGAGGGGTAGGAAACTGTCTCTTTCCCAAGATCTACCACAGACATAAGGCAGTGTTTGGCTGCCAGAGAGAGAAGGGTGCAGGAAGGCTGGAAAGGCCTATCCTGCAGCCCAATAACATATCCTATCTAAGACTGAGTACAAGACAGGAGAATGGAAACCCTTCCTGACCTTACCATGTGCACAGCACCAAGTACAAGTAGCAGTGATCTACCATTGATGGAGGGGAAAGAGGGTGGAAAAAGAGCCCCTCTGTGGCACAGGAATATAGGGACTGCTCAAACTGAGAGTGTAACAGGAACATTGAAAAATAAAAACCTCACAAAAATAGAGAGGTAGATGTATGGAACAGAATAGAGAGCCAACAGATGAAACCAACTACTTACCGGTACCTGATCTTTGACAAGCTGATTAAAAACATTGAGTGGGGAAAAGATTCCCTATTTAACAAATGGTGCTGGGTGAACTGGCTGGCAACCTGTAGAAGAC